GCGTTCGCCTTGCCCGTGAGCAGCATGGACAAGCCCGTGTTCACAGACCCTCCGGTCAAAACAAAGTTTGGGTATCACATTATCATGGTGGAAGGCAGAAAATAAAATGTGATGGCCGTGACCTTGTTGACTGCTTGAATCTCGGGAACTTCCCAGGCACTGTGACCTTTGGAGCAAGTCGGTCACAACCAGCAGCGTGCTCGGAGGCAGCTGGCTGTCCCTGCTGTGGTGACAGGACGCACAAGTTACAGCAGGGCACTGGCTGGAGAGGTAAAGCATTCCCTGGAAAAGGTGAAATAAGAGCTTTTCAAAGCTGTTAAAATTGGCTTTGCCTGGCAGATTGGCCTCTTGGCTTTTCCCATTGCAGAGACAATGAGCTGTCTCTGCCTGAGTAAGGCACTTGGGCTTTGATCTGCAAATGGAAATTATCTGGAAAGGGATTCCCCAAGGCCCTGCTCTTTATCCCCATCCTCGCCCCGGAGGCTGCAGACAGCTCCTGTGCTGCAGTGTCTGCTCCAGAGCTCAGATGTGGACCAGGAGGACAGTCCCTTTGGTAGAGTTAAGGAGAGACAATGAGCTGTCTCTGCCTGAGTAAGGCACTTGGGCTTTGATCTGCAAATGGAAATTATCTGGAAAGGGATTCCCCAAGGCCCTGCTCTTTATCCCCATCCTCGCCCCGGAGGCTGCAGACAGCTCCTGTGCTGCAGTGTCTGCTCCAGAGCTCAGATGTGGACCAGGAGGACAGTCCCTTTGGTAGAGTTAAGGAAGAGGTGACACCAAAAGTACGGCAGGTCCTTCGCCCTGCTCCCTTTTTGAGGTGTGTGTTTTGTTAAGGGAATGGAGAGGCCAGCAAACGATTGCAAAGCTGTAATCCATTAATATGTCATTATGAAAGGCAGACAGGCCTCTGCAGTACAAGAGCAGATGTGCCCTCATTTAAGGGATGCTCTATTAATAAACTACTTGGTTTCCAGGCTACCAGAGCTTTGTTCTACCTGTTGGCAGAAGCAAACCGGCACTTCGCCAGCACCAGCAGTGTCGTCGTTTGTGTTTGTCGTGTCTCCTCATACAAAGGATTCAAACTGGGCAGATTGTTTTCCTCTCCAGAGCCTGCAGAACTCGGCAAGGTGTGAAAGCATCCCTTGCTGTCGTGCTGCAGTACAGAGGGCAAACTCTGTAGGCATGAGGGAGCATCAAAACCTGGTGCTGTGTTGTGACAAGACCCTGCCGAAGATGGTCACGGTGCTGAGCGTTCCCTGGCCAGGTTTCTTCCAGCGTGGTGGCAGGAGGTGAGTCAGGTAAGCAGAGCTTTGCTAAAAGCCGGCACGAGGTGGTTCTGATTTTAAGCTTGCGTGGTTCTGAACTGCGAACCCACTTCATAGCTTCCCCGTGCCTGCAGGGCCAGAGAGTTAATCTGCTGCAGCTGAGCTGTCTGTGGGAAAGAGGGTTAGAGGACTTCCTTGCTACAGGAAAAGCAGTGCAGAACTTTAAAGCCGGTGTTTCCCCCTCCTGCTGCCCTTGTGCAAGAACAGGCTTGGAGGAGAAAATAAAACGGGGGCTGGAGGGGCCCAACACGGTGAGATTGGAGACTCCTTTGTCGCCCTTGCCTAACACCAGAAGGTCTGAGGTGTGCAGCAGCCAAGGCTAATTGTTGTTCCAGTCCTGGCACCCCCCTCACCTGCCCCTGACAGCGACTGCAGCCCGGCAGGGGCGTGAGCAGGAGGATTTCTGCAGCGCCACAGGTCAGCGTTAGGCCTGGCACTCCAGTACCTGGAGGATTTATAGCAGCGACCTCCTCCCCGGCAAATCTGTTCTCGGATCAGCTTTAAACCGGGCTGCGGTAGCCCCCCTCTCTCCTGTGCACCAGCACCCAGCCTGCCTGAGGGTGGGCAACGCTCAGGCAGACACGTGGGCTTGTTTCAAGTTCGGGAGGGAAGAATGAGAGCGGCTGGGCTTTGGGCCACGCGCAGCTGCCCTGGGCCCACACCCTCAGCACCTGCTCAGGAGGGGCAGTAACAGCCTGGAGGGCAGGAAGGGGACACCAGGGCTGCAGGCTTGCAGGGGTGGTTTAGACAATTTTTATTAAATAATCAGACAGGAGCATGAAATTTTTCATTTTTGTGAACCAAGTCCACAGTGAAGTCCCTTCCCCAGCAACCAAGGCCTGACAGATCCTCACGCAGGAGGAGGTGCTGAACTTGTTCAGCCACCGTGAAGGAAGTGCCTGTTGCAACCAGAGGTCTTAAGCTAGTTCAAAAATTTCAGTGATGTAGTTCAGACAAACTCTTAATGAGAAAAAGTACTTAAAGGCACGTATCTTTCATTTCTGGGCTAGCTGTCTGTACAAGTTTAAAGTCATAAGCATAACTTCAGGATCTCCATTTTTTATGTCAAGAGCTTGCAGGAAACAGTTCAATGCCTCCTGCAGTTTTCCGTCATCCTTAAGTTTCTTCCCGCTGTCTACCAAGGTATCATAATCACCTGCGGCAGGAGGGGAGCTCGGACCAACCTCTTTCTCGGAGGCACTTTCCTGGGTGAAGTAGTCTATCTGCTCCCCCGACTGGAGCTCAGCATCGCCAGTGGATTCCTCCTGAGATGACTCCGTCTCATCTGCTTCAGACTGCTCGGAGGACGTGCCGGGCACATAGGATTTGTCAGTTGTATGAAGCGTTTCTCCAGTAGGTTCTTCCTCAGGCTCAGCAGATTCCTCGCTACACTCTTCAGCTTCCTCTTCCACAAGGTCATCTTGCTCCTCAGCACTCTCGCTGTCGTCTTCCTCACCAGTGCTTCCCATGATTTCCCCAATATCCTCAACCTCATCCACCACCCTGTTGATTAGAGATCGCCTGGAAGCGGTAGACCTGCTGCCACTGCTAGCTAGCTGGGGAGAAGAGGTGGGTTTTGCTCTGCTTCTGACACATTTAGGAGTGGATGCGTTAATTCCTTCCCGAAATCGACGCACAGGGCTGGTTAAAGGCGAGGGCCTTTTTTCAGGCTGGTTCTCCTCGGGGGTCATAATGGAATGGTCTTCATCCTCACTGTCTGAAACAATCCTCCCCCAGGTTTTCTTTCTACCAGAAGCAAGGCCAACACTGCTTCCCTCTGACGCTTCACTCCTTTGCAGGGAGTTATCTGGCTCTTCTTCAGCTGTGTCACAGGGCTCACCACAGTTACTGTTCTTACTTGGCCAAGGTTTTGTGAGAGATTTTTTTGCAGGAGATTTACAGAAGCTTTCTGCTTCTAGTTGGAAGCCCTCCCTTTCTAGGTGCTCCAGTGATCTGGCCCTACTTGAGGCATCTTTCCATTCATCTGCAGACTCTTCCAAGACCAGATTGAAATCAACTTGGTCCTGGAAAGAAAGCACAGACGTATCCTCCAAGCTGGCTCCTGACACAAGCGACTTCTGGAGCCCAGCGTGGATTTCTGGCGTGACTGGTGCTGCAGCAGCCAAAGCGAGCTCAGGAACGTCATCCTTATCTGTCCCCCAGGCAGCACGTGAGTCAAGATCTGACATTTCTGCGTCTTTTAACCTGTTGGGATCGTCAGCCATACCAGACTCGTTAGGAGAATGCTGGTGATGCCCATACAGGCCATTCCCTGCCTCAGCCAGGCTGTCTGGATTTACAGGGGAACACTCTTCTGGTTCAAGGCTCTGGTTCTCTTTACCAAGTGGATGAAGTCCAGGTGATGATGGTGTAATGCTCGATTCAAGATTTTGCTCGGATTCTTGTATGCTGTGTTGTTTCACTGCCTCGCTGGTGTTACACAGCTCTGTATCCACACTGGACACGTCTTGCACCGGTTGATTTTCATCCAAGTCGACGATAGTCAGGCTTGTCATTTTGGAGCTGACGGCAAGAACCTGGACCTCCTCGTCCTCTCTGAGATCAATAACTTGCTCGTTCTCGTGTTTATCAGCTGCTGCTGGTGGTGGAACAAAACGATTTATGTTATTTGAACCTGGAAACACATTCTTTGGCCCACAAAAACCTTCTGGTAGTCTTTGCCATGTCTCTTCGTGAGCATTTCTGATGTCCTCCATCCTCTGTTCTCCAAGCTGAGACTCTAACTGGACTAGCTCATGGGCTTTCTGTACCCTCTGTTGAATGTACTGATGGGCTTCTTCGCTCTCAACCTGCTCCTCGTGAGCTATTTCCCTCGTAAATATCAAGTCGTGATCGGAAATGCCAAACATCTCCAGAGAGTGCAGATAAGCAATGTGTTCGTCCAGCTGCACGTCTGTCTTTCTCTGGGTGGCGTGCAAAGACTGCAGCTGAATCTGAGTTGTGGATGTTCGAGTGTCTTCTAACGTGAACAGCTCCCTTAGTTCCTGCTGGGAGAAATACCTAAACGGGTTCTTTTTGTCACCGGTCGTCTGTCTTATTAACGAATCCTTAAACACTTGCCGCCTGTATATTTTCTCTTCCACTGTACCACAGGTAATCAGTCTATAAATGACCACGTTCTCTTTTTGCCCGATCCTGTAAGCTCTGTCTACAGCCTGAGCATCTGTAGCTGGATTCCAGCTGGGGTCGAAGATGACCACTCGGCTGGCAGCTGTTAAAGTTAGCCCCACACCACCAACTTGCGTGGTGAGCAGGAAGACGGAGTAGTCCTTGTTCTGCTGAAAGGCGTTGATGCGCTTTTCGCGCTCCGTGAGGTGGGTCACAGTCCCATCAATGCGCATGATCTTGAACTGTCGGCGAGACAAGACGTGCTCTACGATATCCAGCATCTTCCTCGACTGCGAAAACACCAGGGTTCTGTGTCCCTCTTCTCGCAGTCTTTCTAGAAGCCCTACAAGGAACAGCATTTTCCCAGACTCGTGGATCACGGTCTCATCCGAGAGATGGTCTAACTTATTAGCACCTGAAAGCATCTCTCCTTCGCTCCCGTGATCCTGCTCCGAGTACTCCTGCTCTTCCAAGCCCAGCTGGACACACGCTCTCGCAGACAGAAGCCTGGGGTGGTCACAGAGCTTCTTCAAGATATTCAGCTCAGCCAGAGGCGATCGGGTTGTCATCAGCACTTGTTTCACATGATCCAGAGAGAGAAAGTTCCTGTAGATTTCCTCCTGCACTGGTGACAAGTACACCCACACGACAAAGTCATTTTTCCTAGTGAGAGATGGCATGACAGGAGCACGGCTCTCACTCAGATCCTGGGGAAGAGGAGCGTCTGGTTTGTCAGTGTGATTGGTTTTGATATCTTCTTTAGTTCTTCTGAGGAAATAGGGCTTTATAATTGTCATTAGGTTCTCGGACATCTTTAGCCCCAGTGCTTTCTCACCTAGAGTTGCGTCCTTCTCCCTTGCCCTAGTAATAGGAGCCTCGTACTCCATTCTGAAAGTTTTGGCCGTTCCCAAGAGAGAGCCTTGGCATGCAAAGTCAAACAAGGACCACATTTCCCGCAGGTTGTTCTGCACCGGGGTGCCCGTGAGGAGGATGCGGTGCTTTGCAGGAATCGCATACACGCACTTGGTCGTTTTGTTCGACGGGCACTTGATTTTATGCGCTTCGTCAAGAATGACATAGTCCCAGACAAACTCCTGCCCATAGCTGCTGGCCAGCTGCTGCCAGTTGTTGATGAGCATCTGGTAGCTCGTGACGATGATGCCGTTCTTCCTCTGGACCCTCTCCAGGTTTCGGGTGCGCTCTGCCTTGCTGGTGCCGTAAAACTCCTTGACGCGCAGGCCGGGGGTCCAGCGAGCGAACTCAGCCAGCCAGCTGCTGACCAGGGTGGTGGGCATGATGAGCAGCGCGTGCTGGATGAGCTCGGCGTCAAACATCCCCGAGAGGAAGGCGATGACCTGGATGGTCTTGCCCAGGCCCATGTCGTCCGCCAGGATGCCGCCGGGCCT